TGGCTGCGGAGTCTCTAAGAACCCGACACTGCTTGCCGTTCACGGTAAGGTCGTACATATAGGGCTCTAACAACTTCATGTTCTCGTCGGCTTCATTTAGAGATAAAAAAGCCACCTTTTCTTTCGGGCAGTGTTTCGCGAAGTGCCCTGTTACGTGGCAATTGAAACAAGCAGCCGGTTTTCTCGCCTCAAATTTCCTTTTGCTTGCCTCTGCCGACGCCCCATGGTTAGATGAATTGTTTTCCTCACCCTTTTGTGCGAGACTTGTCGGTTGTTTTCTAAACGGCGCCTTATTCGGTAGTAGGAATTTTTCCCTTTTAGGCTCGCTGTTTGCCCCGAGGGCGCGGCGCGTAACGAATTCTTCAGCGAGCTCTGCGGCTTTCGTTACGGTGTTCACGTCCGGTCTATCCTGCACCCAGAACCTCACCTTTTCTGGTAACCTTTGATAGAATTGTTCCAGACCGATACACTCGAGCACCTTGTCATGATTCCCATACGCCTTTGCCTCTTTGAGCCACTCCCCCATGTTGGCCATTAACTTGTAAGCAAACTCCGGGTATGAATCATTGTTCTCTTTTACGGCGTTGCGAAATTTTTGTCTGAAACCTTCCGCTGACAACCTGTATTTCTTGAGAAGGCTCGACTTTACCTCACTGTACTCGTCAGCCTCCTCTTTCGTGAGGCGCGCGATTACTTCTGAGGCCTTTCCCGGAAGTAGGGACAACAAGCGTTGAGGCCACGTATCCTGGCTGAAACCTTGCCTTTCACAAGTTCTCTCAAAGTTGACGAGGAACAGCCCAATGTCCTCCCCTAGCTTGTACGATCTCATTAGGTCCGTCATTTTGAACCTAACCCGCTCTGCGGTACCGGATGCCTCGCTGCCTCCTGTTCTACTATTATGGCTAATCTCTAGCTCGAGGCGCTTCATTTCAAGCTCGTGCTTTCGCATCTTATCTGCCTCGGCTTCTGCCGCTTTCCTTTCGGCCGCGGCCGCCTTTCTTTCGGCCTCGGCCGCGGCCGCCTTTCTTTCGGCCTCGGCCGCGGCCGCCTTTCTTTCGGCCTCTGCCGCTTACCTCTCCTGAATCTCCTCGACACATTCTGACAGCTCGTCATCCTCCGCCCCGAATGCGAGAATCGCCTCTATCAGCTCTGGCTTTCTTTGAGAGTCCGACACCTCCAGATTCAACTCCCTTGCAAGTAGCAACAACATGGACTTTCGCAGGGATTTCAGATTCATGGCTGCCTCCAGTACCGCTGTCTCTGTTCCACAAAGATTCCTGTCCTGCAACTAATTAACCTTGACGGCAACGACAGCTCTAGGTTCCTGCCTTGCCTCAAGTTTTCCGTTAACTTAGTCTACAAATAAAGCTTCAAAAAGCTCTTATACGGAATCCTGCCCTGCCACTGTTAACCTTGACGCCACCGACAGAAAGAGCTTAACCAAGCTATCACACAATTTCTGCCTGACGCAAGTTACCTGTTAACCCAATGACCAAGACAGCCCCTCTCTACCAGCTTTTACTTAACACATAGAGTAAATGCCTGGTAAAATTTAACAGAGAAAGCCGGCTCTCACCCAGTTCGCAGTCATGTCTCCCGCGTCGTGCCTCTCTCAGAAGTGCCGTTCGATTCCCTCTGGAAGTCGATGGGCTCGTGTCATCCTTCTCCTGTCGTCCCGTTGTTGAACTTCGGGCTCACTCCGTCCAGTGGTCGTTTTCGGGGTTATCGGCATCCCGCCTCTGCCATCCAGTTGCTGGGACTCCGGGTCCTGCCGGTCTCGTTTTCGGTAGCTGGCCCCGTCGCAGGATCCATCGTCCAACAATTCAGCGAGAAGAAGCGCCCGAACGAACGACAGAGATTTATTTACATGTGGAGAAGTGGTCAACTGATCCAAAGAGAGAAGAGTGAGAGTGATACAAAACGTCTTCGGCATTTTATAGCGCCACGTTGTTGACACTGGGCGCCTTGTCCGCATCGTCAGCCAATACGGTGTCCCTGGCACCTCGGCCATGAGGGAGGGAAAAACACCTCTCACAACACATGGAGTGGCACAACCTAACACGATGTCCATATATGGTCACGGCGCCCTAAAATGTTACCAAACACGGTCACGAACGCACAGCAGATTCCGGAGTTCTCCCGGCGAGAGGAGGAGCCTGAATGGGGAGGTGGGGGTGGACGACCCCGTCGGTCAAGAACCGGTTCTCCCCCAAACTCTTCTTGCTTGGTTCCCTAGGGCCGGTCGTAACACCATGTAGGAGCGCGAAGACGTCCGGCTGTTTTCATGTAGTGGGAGGTGCGTGGTTGCAATTACTCGACGGAGCACTGCTGTCACAGAGGCCGGCGCGGAAATGCGACTTGTGGCGCCTTTGTGCCCCAGGAAAGACCACAACGCCGAGTTTCCGCCGAAGACGGATGTCGGACCACCACGCTGTGCGTCTCTGGCTGTTAGGCCGCCGGCACTCAAATCAACGCCAGATGTACAGGCACATGCCATTCGAGGTGCCATAGAAGTGTGGCAGCTTGGGCTAGTTGGTATGACTTGACGATAGTTATAGCGCGAGAACAGAACGACGACAAAGAGACAAGAAGGACACGAACGCTAATGCAGAAGGTAAAGGTGCGCGCACGGCAAATGGAGACTGTGATGAGGGTTGTAAGGAGTGATTGATGAAGAGAAACACACGAAAAAGAGCCCGAATAACTAGAAATTTAACTTGGAAGTGTGGCAGCTTGGGCTAGTTGGTATGACATGACGATAGTTATAGCTCGAGAACAGAACGACGACAAAGAGACAAGAAGGACACGAGCGCTAATGCAAAAGGTAAAGGTGCGCGCACGGCTAATAGGTCTGCGACCGCCGTTAGATAGCAGGAGTCGCCGGGCTGAGCGTCGAGATGACGAATTCATCACATCACATAGTTGTTGGGCGCGTGATTCGCCGGATGAGACAGCGTCGCCGGAACCATACATGTGTTTGGGTTATGTATGTTGGGGACGGTACCGGCATAATGACCCTCGGAAGTGCGGTAGGACCTATTATTGGACAGTGCGGTCCAGACCCATTTCCCCAATCTACAGATATGGGGAGAAAGTACTCTTATAACGAGCCACCGAGCGCCTTCAAGAGAGCTCTCGCCATATACATCTGTAAATAAATCATCTGTTAAGTTCACCTTCCTGCGGCCTCGGCGTCTTCATCCCGGATATCTGGTGCCTGCAAAGGCCGATCGCAACACTAGCTACATAACCCGGGGGCGGGTATGTGCCACTGGTATGCGGGTGTGTACCACAAGGGTGCCAATGAATCACTGCGACTGTTCCATTAGCTTCCAAAGGTGCACGATCGTTCATAAGCTTCAGCAGCTAGACGAGGGAAGGGGGGGGGTGCAAAATGTGCAATTTTCTTCCTCAAGCAACACCAGCAGGCGCGCCCTCTCTCGGAGCTACACGAACGCTACTTCACTCCCCCCTTCCACCTCCACCACGCGCCGTATTGCATGACGGTTTTGCACTCCCAAGGCAAAACCTGCCGACGTCCATGCGATCGTTCGCAGCTACCCAAGATACTGCGAGCGAACAATATTTTGTGTTGCTTATTATGAATTTATAAATTAGGAGTCCACCTGAAATAGTAGTTAGCGCCATACATAAGGAGGCGTCCGAGCTTTTGTTTATATTTACTTTTCTAAGAAAGAAGACGACGCGTCACTGTTCAGGAAGTGTTACGTATAAAACGTGCTTCCGCTGCACGATTTTTTCAACAACAGTCATGTGAGATAGGCTAAGGAGATGCCCGGCCCACATGTCTCTTCATGTTGTGAAACAGAGCAATACTTGAGACAAAGAATGAGTCGCATTCAAGCACACACTGTCGTCTCTTGCGTCTCAACATGAGCCAACCGGCCTCAAGTTTCCACGCTTCTTTTGATGTTGGACAGCCACTCCGGTGTCATTTTTGTTGGCACACGACCAGCCCTTGCCCACTTCTTCTACTCGCTGCGAATAGTACGCAATCGCAACGCATCGTGAGAGTTGACGTTAACTTTGACGTCATACGCTCTCTCACGACTGACGCCGACTCTCAAGATGCTTCGCCGCATTATAACCCTTTGTACAGGGAAGCCAGCTTCTCGTCGACGCTGTCGACCTTTTTTTGCAATGTGTGCGCGCTCAAGCTTGCGTGCGTGCGTGCGTGTGTGTGTGCGTGTGTGTATGTGTGTGTGTGTGTGTGTGTGTGTGTGTGTGTGTGTGTGTGTGTGTGTGTGTGTGTGTGTGTGTGTGTGTGTGTGTGTGTGTGTGTGTGTGTGTGTGTGTGTGTTCCGCCTTCGACATTGATGGGTAGTGCCCAACAGTGTGGAAGAGGGAGATGCGCATTTCGCGGTTGTGCTTACCCAGGCTTAAGTTTTCTGCTGTATTCATTTAGGCTTCGTCTTTTCTTGCTTTGCGTCACTGTGTCTATCGTTCCTCGAGTGCAAGGCAACCCACAAGAATTAGCAAACCTCGCCATTGTTTGCGCTGCCGACGCTGATTGATTTGTTGTTTACGTCCTTTTGTCTCTTTTTTTGCCTTATTGTTATTTGTCTCATTATTCTTTCTTGTTAATGCTGTTTTGTTTCTCTGTAAGCCAGGGGGGGGGGGGGGTAAGCAGAAATTTTGGGGGGTGGAGGGGCGCCCCCTCGATTTGAAGTGGGGGCCCAGATCGGCAGATGTGGTGCAGTGTCATTTCGTAATCTCTATGCCATGGGAAAAAGGGTGGGGGGAAGGGGCGAGGGGCAGTGGCCAGGTGTACCGGCCCCTGAATAGAGCCCAGCTGTGAGAGCACGTGTGTAGTTTTTTTATACTTTTGGGCCGCTTGTATAACTCAGACCCACACTCTAGTTCAGTCTTTGATCTTCTCCTTGTAAAGAGATACTAAGCCTGCACCTCATCGGAGCAACATAAGCTAAAACAAATGGCCTTAATACCGTCGTGAGTATATATTGTTTTTTTTTTCGCAGGCTGTTGACCCGCTGCTGAAGACCATGACAGAGTTGTGCGGCCCGACCACGGAGATACTCGTGTCTTACGAGGACAGAGACAACGAAGCCAACTCGGCGGCAGTCGCCCGCTTCCTGCGGGTGAGTGTTCGCTATCGTCACCAAGTTCTTGTGCTCTTTTTTTCTCGGTGGTATCAGTCTAGACGCAGCTGACCGGAGTTAGATTTAAACGCTGCTTCGGTTAGCTATCTAGTGCAGAATGGGAATAACAATGCACGCACGTTGCATGACGCGTTTATGCGTACACCCTTGCAGCAGCGCGGGATGTGGTAGCTTTTAATATTCTCGTAAGATATGCCGACGATGCGCAAGCGCGCAGAACATCCTGAACTGCGAATGCCGTCGAATGAATTGAGAGTTTTGAATTTAGCGCACACAACGGCCGTGCGCGTGCAAACGGCGAGAGAGAGAGCAAGACTGCGCATGCGCTGAACCTATGGAGAGATGCGTGCGTTTAAGCGCGCAAGAGATGCGCACGCTAGATCTCGCCGCTTACGTCGCGCCCGCTACCGCCGTTGCGTACCTCACCGGCGGCTGTCTCGCGATATGTCGACGGCTGCGAACGTCAACATATCAAACATGGTTACTGCGAGGAAAAAAAAAAAAAAACGCGTCCAACAGTTATTGCAGTTCATTTCTTTGCTTATAGATGGCGCTAAGCAGCACTCCAATTCAAGGCTGTTTACACCGAAGCACATTCCGCGTTTGGGTTGCTGCATACGGTAAACTAACGCTGCGCGCGACGGCCTCAGCCGTTACGTACATACCCCACGCGCCGCGCGTTCTGTTCCTTAGGCGTTGCGCGCGCTAAACTAAAACTTTGTAAATGATAAGTAGCAAATAACGCAACAGAAAGTGAATCTGTCGAGAACACTTGCACTTGGCGGCGCATAGCACGCATGCGCATGTAATATTGATCATTTAACCGATATTATGCGTTGTACGGCGCTGTTTATACTTAAATATAAGATATACTGAAATATAAGCAGCGTATCAGACGGCGCTCACTGCTCGCAGTTCAAAGTGTTTTGTGCACTTGCGCATCGTCACAAGATCTCGTTACTTCACGAGAATATCCGAAGCTACCATATCTCTCGCAGAGCGTTCGCTTGATATTGTTAAAAAATTGCTAGGGTGTTCATGGTTAGTTATAGTCGGATGCGACTTGAGAAGTCTAGAGTGGCCCCGCCCGGCTTTCCGAAGCCTGACAGCTCATCGCTTCCGCTACTTAAGAAATAGTCCCTCTCGTGCACTCGGGATCGTTCTTCGAAGGCGGAGTCACCGGCCGTCCACCTCATGACGTCAGTCTGGAGTGTCCGCCTATTCGTGCATGCTTGTGTGCATCCGCTTTTGATGAAGGAATACCGCGTACCTCTGAAATAGTGTCCTACGATAGTTGATTGATTTGTGGGGTTTAACGTCCCAAAACCACCATTTGATTATGAGAGACGCCGTAGTGGAGGACTCCGGAAATTTTGACCACCTGGGGTTCTTTAACGTGCACCCAAATCTGAGTACACGGGCCTACAACATTTCCGCCTCCATCGGAAATGCAGCCGCCGCAGCCGGGAATCGAACCCGCGACCTGCGGGTCAGCAGCCGAGTACCTTAGCCACTAGACCACCGCGGCGGGGCAATGTCCTACGATAGTTAGTTCGTTGGTTAGTTAGTAAGCCGTTCCGCGATTTCAGGCATTCAAGAAAGAAAAAAAAGTCATTCCTTAGGTTAACATTAAATCAAAGCAGTGTTCCGCTCGGGTGGAAAATATTTTATAATTTTTTATTGTTTTACTATATGTTACTCTTTTTGCTGTGGTTTATTCCGGTTTGTTAACGAATAGGAGATCGTATACCGTTGCGAAATGTGGGTTAAGGAGGCCGAGATAGACATCGCCTTCGAAATGCCACAATTCTTCGCAAGTTGTCGAATACTGACGATTTATTTTTTTATTTCTGTCTGGGCACACAGGGTTGCCGGCAACACTTTCTCGTCGAAGAGGTGCCCAGCAAGGAGCAGCACCCTGATTTCTCCAGCCACGACATTCACATCTTGAGGCTGAGACCCTTTAGCAAGTGAAAAAAAAAAGAAAGAAAATAAATGAAAGAAAGCTTGCGTTAATTCTGCGTGCTTGTTTACAAAGTGTTTTAAGAAGCGTTATTAATGTTACTAAAACAACAAGGTGTTATTTATATAAATACGTTTATTTGATTTTTGTTATGATTGGACTTATTTTCCCTCCATTATACAACTCCATTTGTTCTGATCATCCCCTAAAAGTGGGAATTATGCGGTGCTCACCTCACACATGTAATCAATCATTTCTTCCCAAACCTCACAGGACTGGAACAAACTTCCAGGATAAATCACGTCTATATTTCACTATCCTCATTTTCATTGCTTTTTAAACTCAAGGGTATACTGCATTTATGCAACTAACCAATTATGTGATTGTTTTTTACGAACTCTCCGATTCTTCTTTGTTTAGTTAAGAGTTTTACTGTTGCTTGTTTAATGGTGTAATTATGCTATTTCACAAACTGTCTGATTCTTGTATATTGATGGCTTGTACTGTTATTTTCTGGCTAACATTGTATTTTAGAGGCCCAATCTTTTATTCTTGCCACCCTGAGATTTTTTTCTATAATTGAACCAACGAAAAACCTTGTGTTTGGCGCTCTTTGGCTTGAGTTGCCCTTGCGCCACTAAAATCTGCCATCATCATCATCATCACATTGTATTTTGAAGGACAACGTCTGTATTGTATTTTTTTAATACCACCCGCCACGGTGGTCTAGTGGCTAAGGTACTCTGCCGCTGACCCGCAGGTCGCGGAATCGAGTACCAGCCGCGGCGGCTGCACTTGCGATGGAGGCTAAAATGATGTAGGCCCGTGTGCTCGGATTTGGATGCACGTTAAAGAACCGCTCCAGGTGGTCAGAATTTCCGAAGCCCTCTACTACGGCGTCTCTTATAACCATATGGTGGTTTTGGGGCGTTAAACTCCAACGATTATTATATTTTTTATATATTATTACACCCTCTATAAAGTCTGTGACCCTGAGGGTGATTCCAACAAATAAATAAATAAACATTTGTTCTTTGTATATTCAATATCTTTCCGTCAACTTCTTTTTAACGTTTAAGGACTCTGCTTCGGAGCACGGGCAACCCACACGCGCTTTTTGCGCGCATGGTACGAAAGAGATGGTCCTGGTTCAAGTTAAAAGCTATACTGGGTGCATATGACAGCATAAGTTTACTTATAGTAAGGGTCAAATAACTGTCAGTATAGTGAGCGAAGAAGAGAGCAGAGTACCAGGGAACAAACGAGTGTTATTGTCGAAATTAAGATGAAGAAATGGTCACGTTGCGCAAAGACAAGATAAACGCTGGTCATTAGGGATCACGGAGTGGATTGCAGGCAATCGGGTGAGGGGAGACAGAAAGTTAGGCGGGCAGATGAAATTGGGAAGTTTGCAGGTATAAAGTGGCAGCAGCAAGTACAGAAGCGAATTGACTGGCGGGACATGGAAGAGGCCTTTGTCCTGCAGTGGGCGTAGTCAGGCTAATGATGATGATAGTTAGCGAATATCAATTGTACGTGTCTATTGAAATAACAGATGGTTGTCTTGTGAGGAGCTGTAAGACCCCTCTATATTTCAAAGGTAGCTTGAACCGTTGTGCAAAAAGGAAAGGGCGAATTTCCTCCCCGCCTCTACGTCTCTGTCCTTTTCGTCATCCTTTTGTGTTCTCCCATTGGGCAAAACCCTTCGCGTGACAAGTTATCCCGGATGACCCATCTGCTCTCCATCGCCGCTTGCGATATCGCCGAAAGACGATGCCGTTATCGGGCGTAGAAGCACCGACACACGTGCGTGCTGTACTACAGCGCAGGGTTTTACAGCTTTTTTTAAAGTTTCCAAGACGCCATCGACTGCAGCGGGATGCCAACATGTTGCGCTGTTGGCTACTCGAGCAGCGTTGCCAAGGAAGACAAGCTATTTTGTGTTCCTCGTGGAAAGGGAAACCTCAAAGTGCGAGCAACATGGGTCCATCGCACCAGGAGAAATAACTTCACTTGTTGCGTTTCCAAGCAAGTACGAGTGAGCGCTTCAACGCGCCACACGCAGGCTGGAGCCAGCCGGGCCTTGCCAGACTCGCCCGATAATGGCGGCCGACCGTGATGTGCAAGCAGGAAACTGCGCTGTGAGGAGGAGTTCGCGCTACCTTCGAAAAATAGATGGACCTTAAGCAGCTGCGGATCGTTGCGCTACCTGGTGGAGTGGATCTCAACCACGCGCTTCTTGCTACGTAGCCTCTGCAATCTGACTTGGCAGCGAGACTAACCGCTAATTTAACCCAAGGAATACACTGGAACACAAAAGCGCCGATGTGCTATAGTGCCACTGCCACTGCAACACACCTACGTTAATGGTTAGGGTCGTCTCCAATTTTTTTTTTATCGGTTATACGTTTCTCGAGTCCACATTGACGCTGAATTTTCAAGGTACCGTAACTAGCCCAACAGAAATACTATTCTAGCACTGAAAATGTCACGGGATTAAGACGTCGTAACCAGAATTTGGGGGACATTATGTCGATGTATCGGGCTGACTTTGCGCGCCCCATCTTTGGTGACTAGGAGGAGCCCCCACCCCGTTCGCACGCCTATGCACATTATAGTTACTGTGTATGCTACCTTTGGGTACCAGAATTGCGCATCTGTCTGCTAATGGCCACTAGCAACCATGCATTGCAGAGAAGCTGACACTCGAGCCTTTTTTTTTTATTTCCCAACGCCGACGCTGCAGCGAACTAAATTAACACTAGTCGTCGACGGTCAGTGTTTATCGCCGGTCTTCAACACGCGAGACATGGGCTGTGTTCCAATTGTTAGACAGCACGTAGACAGTCTACGCAGACTGTTTAAGGCGCGTTTACAGTAGAGCGACACCGACATGACCCTGACGAAAACACGAGGCAGACGCAAACCATCGGCCGACGAAGCCTCAAAAGACAACATTTCATCGTAGTGTGTGGTGACCTCACTACTCACTGTAGCAAATGATCACCGCGGGTTCAGGCTTAGCGAGCCACAGGGCTGCTGAAAAACATTTATTTACAGATGTTATTTACAGGGAGGGTGGGAACGGTCCTTAAGGGGCCGCCCCGTACAAACACTAGGTGGGCTCCCTCTTACGGGAGCCCATTGGCGTTGGCCGCGGCCCGGGCACGCTCGACCAGGGCCCGTTGGGCCGTCAGGTCAGAGCAGCCGAGCAGGGCTGCCTCCCAGTCCTCCCGCGAAGGGTTGGGTAGTGGGGTAAGGTTTGGGGTTTTTTGGCATGCCCACACCATGTGGAAAATGTCAGAGGAATTTTCCTCACAATGCGGGCACTTCCCCGTGCAAGCGGGGGTCAAAGTGTTTTATGATTGCCGGGCACAATAGAGTTTTAGTATAAAGGCGAAGGAGGATTCGCTCCTCCGCCTTCGTGAGGCCCTTACAGGGTTTCGGATAGACGTTATGGCCGGATTGATAAAATTGTGTGATCTCCTTAAAGGTGTAGGCAGGATTGGGTTCGAGTTCCGGATCGGTAGGGGACGAGGATGGTGCCCGGAGAGTGAGCGCGCGGGCAGCGGCATCGGCCGTCTCATTACCATCGAGGCCCGTGTGAGCCGGAGCCCATATGATCGTTCGGTGCGTGGGGGCACCTAGGTAGCTGCTGTTCTGCAATATTTTATAAGCACGGTACGGAATGTATCCCTGTTCAATATTGCGACAGGCACCCCTTGAGTCGGTGATGATGACCCTCGAGTCCTGATCTGCGGCGGCTAGTGCGATGGCGATCTCCTCCGCGTGCGTAATGTTATGTGCACGGAATGTGAGTCCGTTTACAACGGTGTTTTGGTGGACGACCGCAGCCGTATACCAACCACCGTGGTGCGGGCCGGAGGCGTCCACGTAGAATACCCCGAATTTGTGGCCGTAGTGTCGAGCCAAGGCTTCCGCCCGCGCGAGGCGTCGGCCAGTGTAGTCGTCTCGGGTCATGTTAGCCGGAAGAGGGCGCACGTACAAGGAGTATCGCCAAACTTCTGGAATCCGTACGCGCTCTTCCGTGTGTATTGAGTGATTGATGTGTAGCCGGGCAAGGAGGCGGCGACCCGACGGTGTTTTAGAGAGTCTAGTATATTGGTTTGTCAAGTGCGCCTCTCTCAGCTCCTTGAAGGTGTTCACCATTCCCAAGCCCAAAAGGCGCTGGTTAGAGGTGCTGACAGGAAGGTCGAGGGCGCGCTTGTAGATTTTGCGGAGAATGACTTCGAGTGCATTCTCGTCGGATTTGCGTAGGTGGAGGTATGGAGCCGAGTACAGGACTCGGCTGGTTACGAATGCATGCGCCAGCCGCAAGGCATCTTTGCATCGTAACCCCCCGCGCTTGTTGGAAACCCGGCGGACCATCCGGCCCACCTGGTCCCCCACCTTACGCAATTTGGCCAATGTTGTGTCTGCTCTGCGATTTTTGTGTATAAAAAGCCCCAGTACTCTAATCTCATCGCGTTCGGGTATTGGTCCGCTGTGAAGGGAGAGGTCGATCTTTGCGGTGCACTTTGGTGAGGGGCGTATGTGCACGAATTCCGATTTGGACGGGGAGCACTGAAGGCCGCAGCGACGGGCATAGTCATCCACGATGTCCGCCGCTTGCTGCAGGCTTGCCTCCATGTCTCCTGCCGAGCCGTGTGACGCCCATATGGTGATGTCGTCGGCGTACAGCGCATGCTGTATGCCTTCGACTTTCGCCAGCTGAGCGGGGAGTCTCATCATTGCCACATTGAATAGGAGGGGCGAGAGGACCGCTCCCTGCGGAGTCCCTCTCGTGCCTAATCGGTAAGGGCCGTGTTCAATGTCCTGAATCCGAATGTATGATTGTCGGTCAGTGAGGAATTGTTTAATATAGTTGAAAGTGTTTTGGCCGCAATCCACCTGTGAGAGATGTGTTAGAATAATTTCGTGGGTCACGTTATCAAAGGCCCCCTTCAGATCCAAAGCGAGCACAACTTTGTCATTCAGGGGATACTCGACT